TATATATGGTGGTCAGCAGACAACTGGTAGCCTATACGGTTGTTTCTTTTTGTTATACCCATTTGTCACCTGTTTCTTTCCCTTTCAGAGTAACAACCAAGCTCTACAGCGTAGTACCGATCACTATATCTGTTAATACTGATACACCGTAATTTAATTTAGGAAAAGAGTATTTATGGTGGTTAGTTTAAAAGATGGAACAACCCTGCCGGATTCGCTTTTTTTTTTTTTTTTTTTTTTTTTTGTAAATTTGTTATTTTATGGATGGGTGGTTTATTTTGCTATGTTGTTAATTTTATTAAGTATCTTCACTTATATAACTTATACCACTGACTTCAGCAGGCACCTCCTATGACGTTACTTGCTGACATTGTTAGCCTACCGAGAGTCTTCCATGGTTAGTCCCATAAACCAAATAATACTAGACTGATTGATGTGTTAGTAAATCAGGTTATTATATTTATTTATTTATTTAATTTATTTATTTAGGCACACAACACATGCACCAAGGGTTGTCAATAGCGAATATATGAACGTCCTACTTGTAGATGACAGTACCTTTCACATTGCAATACAATGATGCTCTACACAAACTAAATCGTAATATGAGTTTTAGGGAGTGGGGTTGTTTTGGTGGTGAGAAAACATCCTGCAACACTGACAGGAATTAAGCTCAGGTCAGGACAATGAGGTTGGAAGGCTGCAATCGTCTTAACCACCAAGCTATTCAACTCCATTCCATACAGATTTAATAGCCTATCTAATATTTACCATTTGATTTGGCATAATATGTGTATATTGACATAAACGTGCTTTCAATTCTGCATGTATCAAGATTTATCTTATTTATACTGCGATAAAATAAAAATAGTAATTTTTAACATTAGGAACAAACCCAAAACCTTTCCATTAACAACCGGTTGCTAATAATCTGAGCAAAAGACTATGCTAATATTATAATCCTTCAGTTTTGTACTTAACGTTACATCACCTCTGCGTCCAATCAAAAAATACATTTTGAATCACTGAAATCTGGAAACTTGCAGTAAAGTATTTAAATAATGAGCAGAAAGGCATCCATTTTAGGTAATATTCTAAAATTATTTGATATGTTTATACATTAGTAGATATATTTTTCAGCTTGGTGGAATTACAAAACCAAATGACGGTATGTGTCACGTGAACAAAGAAGGTTTCTACGAATCGTCTTTAGACTTCGTAAGTTATTTAGACTTGATAAAAGCATTTCCCTTTTCATCCAATGGTTCATTTATACCTTCATTCACTCTCTTAATCGTTTGCTTACCTATTTTTTATTTCGTTAGTTGTTGAAAATAAATCTGATATAGAGCAACTTGTTGACATGATGAATTAAGTCATTTATAGATCTTTAAAACATTACACATGAATTTGTGTATTTTTTGTTTGTTATACATTGAAGTAATAGGACTATTCGATGGATTTGATAGGCCTATACATTTACTATTGTCACAATATCTTTATTAGATTTTCATCTTTCTATATGCATATATACTAGAAATGTTAATCATACACGTACTATTTCAGGATTTCCCATCTTTTGGTCAACTACATGAAATGATGTTGGAAAGAAATATAATTCCTGTGTTTGCTATTGCAAAGAGAAAGCCGGACAAGTTAAAAAACTACCAGGTACGCCACTAGAAGCAGACACTGTATGCATCAGCACTCACAAATTACTCTACACATGTTTAATATGTTAACACATTTTTTTAAAAATAAAAATGAAACTACTAGGCCCTATATAATGTTTGAAATAGCCAGTAGTACGCATGATCATAAATTAACGTACCTTTATTTTTTATATAAACCTAATATTAAACGATTTAAATCCCACATTTACAGTTTCGGTCACTGTTTAACCTTCCTAATATAGGATCTTGTAAAAGATTTCTTTCAAGGCGCAAAGGTTGCTCGTTTGGTCGACAAGTCGGAAGAACTTATTAGACTAGTTATCGGAAGCTATATGGTAAGATTGAATATACTCCCTTGATTTTATACACATATACATACATACACCCCTACACACTCACCCACACACCCACACACACACATATATATCTGTCTCTTATACACATCTATAATTTTAAAATAAGTTTGCTTTGCTGCGTAAGACCGTAAACACAATATAACGAATAAATAATAACAGTTCTCGAATTGAAAGCATAGCTCATTAACGAAAAGTTCTTTTATTTTACATGTATATAAAAAATAGGTTCTATGGCGGGATTCGAACCGGCAACCGCTCGCTATCAAGACAAGTATCATACCCATTAAACCACTGACACATATAAGATATAGGCGAAGATATAGAAAGGGTTAACGTATTTCGGAACATAAATATAATTTATTTTATTTAACGTAAATTATATTCTATTTTTGTTCCGAAATGTCATACCACTGTGGTTACTATTTGTAACATGTTTTTCCCCAAGGAAATAACATCTGAGATCCAGCTTATTATTGATAAGACAGAAGACCCAATTCAAGTAAAGATCACTTCAATGTGTGGCTCACCGAAGGACAGCACGTGCTTAAACGTTGGTCTTGGAGACACTGTTAGCTTTCAAGTAGAGGTGTCATTAACAGAATGTTTCAATGGTACTAAAGAGTAGGTTGAATTCTACAATAACACAGAAAACAAAATGAGATATTGAATAGAAAAAAAATAATGGTAAGCTTACAAATGAATTAGTAAAAAATGGCGTAAGTATGGCATGCCAGAAAAAAAAAACAATAAACAAAGGTTAAGATAATAGTAAGAACTCCAAGGGATTTGTAAGCCACTGTAAGAAAATATTATTAAATGGTACTTTTACTGTAAATCAATAATATGATTATCAAAAGCAATAGCAAAAAATAGCCAAGACTTACAACAGAAAATAATGAGAATTGATGTAGAAATTAAAACAAAAAAGTAATTAAAAAAGTATAAGTAAAAACACACGAAAAACATTGTACCATGACAAACTATTCTAGAAATTTCATTTAGATCCAGGGAGCGGGCAGGCTCGACCCCCTCCTTTTGAAAAGTCAAAAAAAAAAAGGAAAAGAAAAACTTGACCACTCAAAACGCGAAAAATTCGCGAAGGCATGCCCCGGACCACCTTTTAGTAGTGTTAGCTCGATCGGTCCTAATTTCGGCCCCCTTTCGCCCTCTCCCCCTTCGGACGTCTCCGGATCCGCATCTAAGACCAATTGATAAGTTGTAGTTTGTCTTTTTTGGAGATACTTAGGTCTAAGACATTAGTACTTTAAATGATTCTCTAATTCACAACCGAATCTGGATCGTCACCAACACTGTATAATTTCTTTCCGAATATTTCATGTAGATCTGTTGATCTACATTGAGGTGTTTCCATATCCACACCCCACTCCGAATTGTCACTAATGTGAGGAGGCACATCATTGATATAATTATGGTCTTTGCTTGGCCAAAGCCTGTCAAAAGATCCAAATACGGAAAGTATCCAAAGTATCCGGCGGAAACACCCTGTGCAAAATAAAAAAGAGGAAAAACGATATGGAAGGGGAAAAAGATCAGAACAAAAGCAATGGCTTTTCCTTACTGCTAGGAAAAGCCAATAATAATAATAATGAAATTATTATTGTTATTTCTATTATCATGGTTATTATTATTATTATTATTATCATCATTGATTTTATTATCATGTAGATTGGTTATACGACCAGTAGGATTTGAAGAAAATGTTTTGATCAATATTCAAAGTAGCTGTGACTGTGAATGTTCAGATATGAGTGTAAGTTTTTTTCTTTATTGTAATAATAATAATTATATTTCTATATGTATTTTTTTATATTCTAAACGATTTATTGCTTAGAGATAGGTTAATTCTCTTATATGATGATCTGTAAAAGTTTTACTGTTATATTTGAATGGTTTTGTTTTGTATTGTATTTGTTGACAGGGTTTAGTTCAGCCATCACTTGAGGACATTTTTAATTTTCTCATCACTACCTTTGTTGTACCTATTTTTTCTGTTCTTTTATCCAAAAAAAAAAAAATTGAATAAAATTAAATGGGTCTATGCCGTCGTAAATATATTTATGCTTGCAATGTCATTAAGGCTTTACAATCACAGACATCCACATTTATTTTCATAACTGTTGATTCAGATTCCAAATAGTCCGTATTGTACTGACGGCAACGGTTCGTTATCCTGTGGATTGTGTGAATGTAATACTGAAAGATTCGGAGAGTTTTGTCAGTGTAGCGCCACCAGCGATGTTACTTCGGAAAACATTGAGTTGTGCATGATGTAAGTTGAAAGTTAAAAAGAGAATGTGTCAATAATGAATAAGAAATCATTCGAAACTGTTGGCAAGAGAGGAATATATATATATATATATATATATATATATATCTCTCTCTTATACACATATATATGTGTATAAGAGACAGATATATATATATATATATATATATATATATAAAATCTAAAAGTAAAGATGCTTGAAGGTCAATATGTAAGTGCAAAGTAATTATCACAATTATATATATGGACAAATGTCGTTTTAAGTCAATAATGTTTGTCTAAGCATTTATCAAGCCAATTGAAATAGGGCACAAGGGATGTACTGGTATTTCGTCGGCGTTTCTTTCACACCGAAAACTTGATTTGAAAATTAATTTATGGCTAGTTGGTAGACGAGTAGAGAGCGGTATCTTTATTTGCCGGCGACTCAATTGTTACAACATGTTAAGCATGTCTGGGTCAGATCTTTGTCTACGAGAAAGGCACGTCAGCCTACTGAAAGTTTCTGTGAGCTAAAGCTAATGAAACCCATAACAAAAAAACGTCTTGAAAATCATTTGATATATAAGATGAGATGAGATGATATGGAATGAGATGAGATACACTTCAATGCCATAATCGCAGCCAAGCGGCAATAATTATGGTTGCCATTAATATGATGGATCATACTGCTGGTTCCCACAGGCCGAGGTAGATGCACTTGCGGCGAATGTCACTGTGCTGACGGGTTTACCGGCATCGACTGTGAATGTCCAACAAGTAACTCTCATTGTATTGCGTCAACGGGTGAGATATGTAATGGTGTAGGGACGTGCGAGTGTGGCACATGTACATGTGATGTGGATTCAATATACCACGGTCACACGTGTGAAGATTGTGATGTAAGTATATTAATTGTTACGCTTGCACATGTCGACACTCACCATTCTATGAGGAATGCAACACAAGACATGGGCAACAGATCGTTATTAACGACGATTTGCCCAAACTGTCACCGACAACATGAGACAGGTCGACACAGTATGTGCCGGGCTGTAGGCCTAAGACAATTAAGGAGTTCGACTGAAATTCAAATTTTGACATTTGCGTGTGTTTTTAATCTTTAATTTTCATTTTATACACCTTTTTGGAACACCAACTGAAAGTAGTAATTTTTTTTTTTTTTTGGTAATCCTGACACGTTGGTGTATAATATTTGTTTATCTTGTATTTTTCATATTTTCTCGTTTGTCTTTATGTATTTTGATTAATTTTTAATTACGAAATTCATGAAATTAAATTAAGCCTAATTATATGTTATACTGCATAATTAATAACGGCATTGTCTTCATAGGCTTGCCCAAGCGAGTGTGACCGGAACAGTGATTGTGTACAATGTAAGGTTTTTGGCATAGGACCACAGTCACCCACAAACTGTTCAAATTGCCCACAATTCATCATACCAGTTTCTGAAGGTTTTACCGGTAAGCTAGCTTAGATAACGGTTTTATCTAAAGTGTCAATTCCTTAACCTGTATTCACAAACTATTCACAAAAAATACATTGCAAATGGTCACTATGTTATGCTGAAATACTTGTGTTGTTAAGCGAAGATATCCACATTGATGTGTTGCATGGTTTTCTTCAGTGCAAAACATACCAGGGAAATTTTAAAAAATCGGAAGACTTTTGGCAAGTAGCAGTGAGTCCTTCTGGTAGTGAATTGGGCAGTGCACCGAGAGAATATTGTAGCTTAGTATTTATATATATTTATAATTTGTAAATTTTATCAATTGACCAAGAGTTCAGAGCGGACCACCAATGGTTACAAAAGGGTATCACCATAATGTTACAACAGTGGTTGATTGTTGTTACAACAGTGGTTTATGTTACAACAGTGTGAGATTGTTACATTAGTGGGTGATACAGGGTAACGGTAGGTACTGTCGAATGGTAATTATACAAACGTTCTTTTTTGCATGATTACCATTACTATATTTACCATCATATGTTTTTAAATTTAGTACATATTATTCTACTGCTACCGAAGATAACTATATAATTGTAGCAGATTGTTACGGTACTTATTAAGTTTTTGTTATTGGTGTAGAAGTTTGCTTACAGTCTTCATAGTTTTACTTTGGTACGAAAAAAAGTTCGAAATTATTCTAACACATATGCCTATGTCTTACATAGACAATGTAACAGATGTGTGTTCACTAACAGACCACGACGGCTGCTCAATTTCTTTCCGCTTCGAAAACAACGGCACGTTAGAAGTAATATTTGCCTACAAAATGAGAGGTATAAACATTTTTTTTTCTAATTCAAAAATACAATTCTTCTGTCATTGCTTCTGTATATATTGAAGTAGCATTAAATACTAACATTGAATACAAACAAAACATTAAATACTAACATTAAATACTAACAAAACTAAATCAATGATATTCGGAGCATCTTACATACAACCTAAATTTCCGGAAATTTCCCTTAGCTATTACAATATTGATATTGAAAAGGTACCGGTAGTGACTATATTGGCGTAAATTTGATTGCAACTTAACATGGGGTATACATATTGGCAAATTGTCATCTAAAATATCGAAAGAAATTGGAGTCTTTCGATATTAATAAGCACATTTGATAGCATTTTTTTGTCTGCAGTATAAATTTAATTTTTACCTTGCTATTAACCTTGGCCTAATAAACTCAAATTTGAGTATTTATTATCATCATTAGATTGTCCCATGAAGCCATTGGCGGACTGGATATGGATAGCTGTGGGAATCATTCTTGGTATATTAGCCATTGGTTTGATTTGTTTACTTTGCTGGAAACTGGCAACGTTCATTTACGACAGGAAGGAATACAGTAAATTCCAACAAGAATTACGAGGAGGCAAAAACGCTTCAGTAAGTATTCTTGTTACTTTAGGCCTATGTTGTTTGTATAACACTTTTCCTTTGCAGTTACAAAGTGCTGTTAGCCACTCTCTAAAATAAGTAAAAACAAAAAAAAAATCCCCACAAGCGGAACTTGCATACAAACCAAACCCAAACAATACAATAAAGAAACGCTAAGCAAAAGGGTTCGGTGGAAAAATTATCAAAACAATGAACGAATAAGATCAGAGGCAAGCATCGATCGAGCAATCGTTTGGTAATTAAATTTTTTTAAATTTGTTTTGAAAATTTGTATAATAGTACAATATAAAAACGTAGTCTCTATGTTATGAATGACCTTACGAAGATGACGCAAGGAAAGGGATAATACACTGTGACGTGTAAGGGTAAATGGGTAAAAAATTCATAGGGATGAACCCTTCAATTGATAAGTTGGCCCTCCACCTGGAAGAAGAAGACTCCCTCCACGACCGGGCAAATTCAAGCGCAAATAATGTACGTTATTGTACGCAAAAATAATTCAAAATAATAATGAAGATCATCATCATCTTTGAGGATGTGGTTTACCGTGTCTATAATATAATGGCACCTTTTAATATATCATGTCCATAATATAACATCGACCGTCCTATATGACTACAATCACGCCCTACTTTTTTTTTTTTTAATATAGAATGAGAATGCACTGTACAAGCCACCGATTACTAAAATCAAAAACCCGATGTTTGAGAGCACCCAGTTAGATTCTGCTACAAACCAGCTCTCTTACCGCTTCTAGGCCCACCCATGCTGCTGCTTCAAGCCTGTCTTACCGCTTGACCCAGGTTAACCACAGAGTTCTTATGAGTCTTGAGACTTAGGCCTACATTATCAGCAATTACAATAATACCATACAACAATACCATAATACAAAATATGGATGTCAAGATCACCGACGTGTGCCCACTCAGACACACACCTCACATGCACGCTCGCTCAATGCTACTGATGAAACAGCTGAGTAAATTCACGCTCGACGTAACCCTATGCTGTCTCTTATACACATCTAGATGTGTATAAGAGACAGTAATTATGGTTGCCATTAATATGATGGATCATACTGCTGGTTCCCACAGGCCGAGGTAGATGCACTTGCGGCGAATGTCACTGTGCTGACGGGTTTACCGGCATCGACTGTGAATGTCCAACAAGTAACGCGTACGTTAATCCATGGCGTAACTAGCGAGATGTCCAGACTGGGCGATTAATGAACACTAGCGTATGTATTCGCGCGAAATATTCGTATTCGTAATTCGCGCATTTTATTTTCTGTTTAGAGATATAATAAGAATACTAGAGCGCTAACAGCAATGTATTCGATGTTCGAAATAAGCAGAGCTGTGTGTGTGTACCATGGTACCATCCAAGATGGCTGCCATAGATTCGGCCAATCCATAGAGATATAATAAGAATACTAGAGCGCTAACAGCAATGTATTCGATGTTCGAAATACGCAGAGCTGTGTGTGTGTACCATCCAAGATGGCTGCCATAGATTCAGCCAATCAAATTTCGCCTGAGCACTATCATTTTCAATGGCGCCCTCAATGTACACAGAAAGTTCAATACAGCTAGTTACCCGTATTTTGAAACTCGAGCGTTGCGGTGTATGGGTGTAATGTACACGATTTTAATTCTTTTTAATATTTGAATAAGATGCTCTACTCCGCGGCCTCTTTTTGGCTACGACAGTTTAATAATTTGTCATTATCAATACTAATTATCATTAATGAAATAATATTCAGTCAGAGGGCTTATTTATGGTAATAATATGTATACTAAGTGAAGGTGGCGCTTTTCTATGGCAGCCATCTTGGATGGTACACATACACAACTCTGCATTGCTCCGCCATCTTGTCAGCACTCTAGTTGTTTAATAGCTCTATGGTGTAATGTACACGATTTTAATTTTTTTAAATATTTGAAAAAGATGCTCTACTTGGCCTCTATTTGGCTACGACAGTTTAATAATTTGTCATTATCAATACTAATTATCATTAATGAAATAATATTCAGTCAGAGGGCATGGTAATAATATGTATATTAAGCCTGAAGGTGGCGCTTTCCTATGGCAGCCATCTTGGATGGTACACATACACAACTCTGCATTGCTCCGCCATCTTGTCAGCACTCTAGTTGTTTAATAGCTCTATGTTTATAGTATGCCGACTTGCTTTGACCTAATTACCGTATTGTTTCTCAAATTGTATATTCAAGCATGGAGGAAGATTCAAGAAACTATCTCAATAATAGTGTTCATTTTATGTCAATTGTTACGCTATATATTATTATATTATATAAATAAATATATATATATATATATATATGTATATATGTATATATGTATATATAGTGGCGTAGTGGAGGAATATTTAAGTATAATTGCAACACTTAACATTAGTTATTGTAATTTTTGTATACGCAGTGGAACGTTAAAAAAGTACTGCCACGAAATAGGGTGCGTCCTATTAGAAAAAATAGAAAGTTCGCTTGAAACTCGTCATTTAAGTACACGCCCCCTTCGTGGCAGTACTTTTTGAAATATGAATTTTTTTTTAATTGTTAATTGTTTCTTTTATACTAATGAACTGAGTAGTACAATAGAGGAATTAGTATAAATAAATTGTTTAATGTTTTTGTATGTTAAACTAATCAACAAAATACACAAAAATCACGTCTCAGATTGCCACATATAGATAAAATACTAAACTAATACTTAAGTAATTTTCTATGAATTATTGAAATTAATTTTTAGAAATGAAAAATATAAAAAAATTGTATCATGTCTTTTGCACCATGTAATTCCCTGTAAAAAGTGTAATTTAAAGTCTATCTGTATCTGAATGTACTAAATTGGTCTTATTCACTCTTCAAAGTGGCAATCCCTTCACAGGTCAAACATACACAAGATGCTCTGGAGTTGATTTGGTCGTGTGAAAAAAAAATGTTACAGTCACAGGAACTCGGGACCTTGGGAGTGGGAGGCAAGCATCTTAACCACCAAAATATTCAACTCCACTCCAAAAATAAAAACAAGTACAGAAATATGAGGCCAAATAAATTTATAACACCAGATATCACTTTCTGACTCCTTGGTCTGTGAAATGCAGAAAACGCAGATCACAATAATTCAATCTTTCCTAAAAAATATCTAATGCAAGTAGGTTCTAATTATAAATTAGTTGGATAAAAACCCCACATATTTATATACTTGTTTCACGATTATATACTAGGTAATGAGGTATTGTAAATAACTAAAATAGCACATTTTGAAGTAAAAACCGCATTGGAATATTACATAGGACTATTAAGTAAAACCAAATTAAATCACGCTACACCTTAGTTTGTCCTAATACAGTAGGGCTTATCTACCATATCTATATTATAAACATACTTGAAAAAATAAAACCAATACCATAAACCACAAAAAATATGAATAGGAAAACTATTAAAACATTTGATAAAGACTATCAATGTTGCAAGATACAATATACAACTTTATTTTTTTTAAATAAATGAAAAAGAAAAAATAAAATTCTGACATATGTTGTACTTAATGTAGAACCATCCATAAATATACATGAGATAAACAGTTAAATAAATAATTATTGGTAAACAAAAATTCTAATACAGTTCTAACACCAATGTTCCAATCCACACAAGTGTGTGTGATTTACCAATATAGGCCTATATTATGTCATTTTGCAATATTTATAGAAACTGTATGAGCATATCAAACCTATATAATGGGCATGAACATGTCTCATCACATCCATGTATATAGAAAATCACAGCGTATTGTGCCATACACTGTGAATATCATGTACTGACTTGAAATGCTTTTGTGTACAGTGGATACAGCAAATTGTGTTTATCTACTTTTTCTTGTGCTTTTGATCGCCTTGTTCTGTTTTTTTTTTTTTTGTTGTTCTATTGATTTAAAACTCTGAAATAAAAATGGATGAATAAACACCTATTATTCCTCCTTCAAGCTGCCTATAAATGACAGGCATCACACAACGTAAACGTGTTTGTAAGAGCTGCTCATATTCCTGGAGGCCATATGCCTATTAAATAATATGTTCTTGTTGCTGAGTTGTAAAGATTGATTGACACTGTAGACAAAACAATTATGTCAAGAAAAAATCTCAATGACAGACATGTTTTGTTGGCCTAATGCTGTATAAATTAAGGTCTTGTAATATTTTAAGTATCTTCAACAACAGAGTTATTCACTTTAATAGCCCATCAAATGTCATTCTACCAGGTTATGTTTTAAATATACAATTTATTATTAAGTCAGTTGCCAAATTCATTACAGATTCTATAATTATATTTAAGTAAAATTTACATAATAAATAAAAAATACGGAATGTTACAATTATTATAATATGTATGCATATCATCATAACAGACAGGGGCAGATCCAGAAATTCTCAAACGGGAAGGGGTGAAGGGAGGCACAACATTTTCAGAATAGATAAGCGAGTAGCATTGATATACATTGCGATTTTAAAATTCAGTGACAAAACGGGGGGCACGTCAGGCACGGATCCCACTGGATGCATGCCTGACAGAATTACTACACTTGATTTAGATCTTATTGGATTACAGTAATTATTGGAAGATGTGCAATACCGCATAAAATGCTGTTTTGTTTATATACATTTTTGATATAATACTTATAAGACTATTTATTATTTTATGTCATAAAATCAAACTATTATATAGCATAGAAAAACAAATTATACATTATGCATAGAAATTGTTTATTAATATTTTTAAAATCTAAATATAACCAAACATTTCAGTATGTAAAAAACAGTATTGCACAGTTATTCAGCAACAATAAAAAAAAAATTGGAAGTATCTGATTCTGTCTCTTGTCAAGTAAGTGTAAATAATTCAAATACTACAATACCTCAATCCACACTATTTTCATTATTTAGAATGACATTATTGCTTTTTTACAGTTTTTAGAAATATATAATGTTGACTGAGCTGTCACTATTCCAGTATACAAAGGTGTAAAGAAAAATAAATGCTTTAAATAGATAAGTCAATTGGAACACATTGCCAGCTTACATAAAAGGAAACGAAAATATCTCAGTGGGGGATATATGATTTCGAAATGAAGGGGCCCAGGGAGAGAGTTTCACAGATGAAGGGTCTATAGCGCCTCACCCCCACCATGGCTGGCGCTGAGGAAAGAAGATTTATGATTACGGTACAGTACCTCTAGATGGCTGGAAATGGCACTCTCAGTCTTAAATTTGTATAATATGTTTTTTTCTTTTTTCAATTTTTTTCATAATTTTGAAAAAAATTAGGGGGGGGAGGGGCTCCCCTTGAGTCTGCCAATGCATCTTGAGACTATGACAACCGGGGATTTCATGGTCTTTAGCATTTTTGGTCTCTAATTAGAATAATAAAAATAAAAGACATTTGTAAATTTGGGACCACAGAAAAGTGGTCTTTAATTGGAGGGAGACATGCACTGTAACAAAAATAAAAGAATGAATGGATGCAATCTGATGGAGAACTCAACCAGCACACATAAGGCAACATGTTTTATAACTTGTTATATTGAATTGATTGCCAATAATGTTGATTTAAAAATTTTTTTTATTAGGCCCACCGTTGCATTGAAATCTCCCAAAAAATAATATTTCTTCCTTAATTATAAAAATTTAAAACATTTATCAACCTCATTATTACACTGTTTACATTTACCAATAAAATTTTAGTTTTACTTTCTGCTCCATCTGGATATTTTTGGAAAAACCATTTGCTCAAATCAAGCTTGGTTTCCATACATTTGCTACACCCTATCACCAACAGATTTTGGTGATGCTGATTGGTCGGTTGAATCGGGGAACACTGGTACACTGCTACACAGTACAACTATTGCACTGGAAACACTGTAGCGACAGTGTAGCAACAGTGTAGCAAGTTTAAGGAAACTAGACTTAAGGAAACTCCTCCGATGATCTTTAAAAAAAAAGTTTGCTAAAAACAAGGTATAAAAAATTCTCACTTAATGGTTTGTACACAGTACTAGAAACTTAGCATGCACCTTCTCTGAAAAGATGGTGTACTATTCAAGACAGCTGAAACCAAGAAAAGACAAAGTCATCCAGGTTCAGAGCACATACTCATAGTGAATTTAACCAGATAAGCCACCGCAAACAAGCTTTTCTATAGCTTACGGCAGCTATTGTACATGGTGTATTGCTAATCTTGATCCACACTAGCGTACGATAATGGAACGGTGTAGAGAACGCCGGAAGCGGTATGTCGACAGGCGCCACAGAAAAGGTGCTAAGAGCAGACTGAGGGTGGTTATGCTTAGTATTAACAAGTAAACCTGAAAAGAAAAAGGTAAGTGATGAATAATAACATGAGAGTCTAAGGTCATCAAAAGATTTTGGCATTTCCTTGCCTGGTAAATATTTAGGTGTCCAAGCGTCAGTCATCACAATCTCAGCCTCCACTGTCAGTCCCAAAAAATGTAAGGATATACCTGTGGGACAAGTTTGGCTGTTTTATTCAGTGTATATATTTTGTAAAAAAAAATTACTCATGGATAGCTTTATATTTCAGTAGGGAGGTTTTGCATACAGTTAGTGTCATCATTTATGATGGCATACGCTGGTTGCTATACACCAACCGTGTTAACAACACGCATATCTCCCTCACTGCATGAAAGTGAAAAATGCATAGGAAAATTTTGGATTTCTAGTAATTTCTTTGTTTTTCTTTTCACATTTTACATAGAGTTCAAAAAATAAATGTATCTTTAATACGTACGTGCCATTTTTGAGACTTTTATAGACAGCAAGTTACGATAGGATGCGTCTCAATTTGGGGCATTAAAAAACAGTGATGCTTGGTGCTGTCAGAATTTTCCTGTAGGCCAAGGCATAGTAGTCAGGATTTTTGTGGTCAAAAAATAACCAACTCTTCTGGGCAACAAGGGAAGGAGTTCCAATTTCCAAAACCTTACATACTAAAACTTTAGGCCATGCCAAGTTCTTATTTTCAGAAGCATGATGAGAGAAGAAAACGGAATAGGCCTAGCCTAGGCTTTAGAGTAAGCTTAAGGCCCTACGCTTAAATTTCGCTGCCATTGCGAAAAGCACAGCATGGCTACAAAAAATTACGGATAGCTAAAGATATGCATGTATTTGTTTGCATGCAAAAACCTCTCTAATATCTCCAAGATACGCACCTCTCTAGACAAGATTCCTAATCGCCTGGCCCTGCTACCAAGCACAAAAGAGAACTCGCTGACTTGTGCAAGGCCTGATGCTACAATCCATTTAATGTTGGAACTTGTAGAGGGAAGGAGAATTCCCAAGACTAATACACCAGTCAGGCACTAAAAAATAAATTGCAAAATAGTTTAAATTAATGTAGAATTACTTTTCCAAAATACAGTTAAATGCAAAATGGAGATTTGTTGGAAGTGAAAAGTCATGGTAGTTAGAAAGGAGAGGTAATGTGCTGATGGAAAATGGCCTGATTACATACCTTGATTATAACTACCATAAATGTTAGACTGAGCAGGATACTAAGCTCATAAAGAACAAATGTTGGAAAAACATGCAATCCTGAAAAGACAAACAAAACCAATTAATGTACTACATAATATTATTGTTAATTGATAACATTCTTAATACATATTGTCATATACAAAACAGAAGAATGAAACATCAATCATTTTGGAAACAATTTAAATAGAGCTTTGCTAATTGGTCCTTTTAAAAAAGATACAGTTTTTTAATGTTGTGGGATTCAATCAATATTTTCAAATTTGAAAATACAAACATACAGCAATCAATTCTGATTCCTGTAGGTTCATCATAAATATGTGGTCACTCAAAAAATTGATTGAAAATGATTACATAAGCATTCATATGTTGTTCTTTATGTTGGAAACTTGAGTTAAATGTTATGCATTTATACAGCACAAAATATGAGGGTCTCTATTTAAAAAAAAAAGTGAATCAAATGTAATTAGAAAAACAAGGAAAGAAACTCCAAGCTAGCACCAAAATAGCAGTAAGGTGATACACCCTTGTCACTGAGAAAGATCTGTCAAAGTGTACCCTGTCCAGCACCAGTTGAGTCTCGGCCACCCAGGACACAGGCTCCCCCTATCTTGAAAGAACAAGAAAAAAAGCTAGAAAAAAAATGAAATTTTGATATCATCAGCAAAAACAATGGTGTGATACTTACCAATAGATGCAAAGAATAATGCAGCAAAGAAGTCTTTGAGCGGTTCGACTAGATGCTGTATCTCATCCACCAATGAGTGTCCCTGAGTGCTGAGTATTGCACCAGCTAAGAAGCAGCCAAGCTCCATGGAGATTCCAAATAAGTTGGTTATCTACAGTAACATACAACAGATATTATATAACCAAAATTAATTACTCATGATATAATGCTCTCACAAAAAGCCTACTCATTTTACAAGATCTGTGAAAAAGACAAAAATTAAAATGTTTTTTTTGAAAACAAATAAATTATGAAATTTCAAGTAGGGAAAAAGAAAGCAAACAAATCAGTTGTCATGATTTACAAATGTTTTAATTAGCAAGTCTATGCAAAAAAAAAAATAAAAAATATTAGAATTGTTATGCAAATGTTAACTGGCAAAGGATACAATTGTAATTTCTCATTTGAATGCTAATAAAGCAATTTTAATATTGAATTAAACAGATATATATTTAACCTCATAGATTATGTATACAATGACTTTACCACAATCCAGACAAACCTTGGTTAAGGGTTGAACACAAGTGATACAAACAGGAAGTTCAGTAGGTGACACACTCTAAAATAAGCAATTACGATTATGTGACTGTTGTTGAGGAAACAATTTGTTCCTTTTTGGCAAATGTCTGGCAAATAAAAAAATCAGTCTGGTATATCTCTGTGTGTAACAGGGCATTTAAGCAATAACATGGCTATAAACTGCCAACAATGGCAATTAATAGCGAGGAAGGCAATAAATAAATAAATATCAAGAAAATATTGAAGTTGTTTTTTTTGTCATAGTCTGTATAGCTAATCAATATTAATCTCCATTATCAGATTTAATGACTCTCCTAAGTTCAGGGTAAATTTTTATATTGTTATTGTTAAATGTACTAGATCAAGATGTATGATAATTATGAGCTACAAAATCTAGAAAAAGAAATCTAAATTGTATCAATTGTTATATAGTTAACAGCCTTAATTGATTAAAATGAAAAAGCTGGTAATCAGCAGATTGATATCTTTATAGTATATCTGTTAAATCAGCTAAACTTATTTAAAAAAAAAACATATGAGTAAATGAGCTATTAATAATGTTAATGATACTTTAATAAAGACAAAGATTATTATATAGATATTTAGTATAGTGTACATCAGCTTATGCTATACCTATGATAAAAAACATAAAAAAATACATTAAATGCAGTCTTGATCAATATATAAGTGTTGGTCTTTTGGGACCTGTCTGCCCTGAAGAACGTATGAGGTAATACAGTAACCTGAAGGCCACAATACTATTGTATTCAAAATGACCTGTAATCTCCTCACTTTGTTCTAGCACTAGTTGCCTCAACTTATTAATCACTAGCAGTCAGTCAATGCAGTAGCCACAGTATTCTGGAGTGCAGCTCTCAGGACAACTTTCCAAAAATATATCCAGAAAGAAATCTGGTAGGTAAAAACTATTATTTTTTCGCTCCATATAAAATATTTTTTTGATTGATATTTTTGCTAGCACATAAGGTAATTGCTGTATGTTTTTTAACAATTATATATAAAACTTTTTTTTATGTTGGATTACTCTAGGGGTAATCATCCTTTGAAAGTTCCATGATCCAATACTACATGTAAAAAGTTCATTATTAGAAAAAAACTTCAATCAAGTATCTACAGTATCTCATGCAGATGTACTCAAAACAGCCTGGAATATTACATTTTTATAGCATTAATCTGCAAAGTTTGAAATGGAATGATTATGGTATGTTAAATAAAATAGTGGACAGAAACAAAAAAAAAAAAAAAATTGAACAGCAAAATCTTCAAGCAAGTGACTTTTGTGCAGTGATTTGTACAAGCTTTCAAATTATTTTTCAGACAACACTGAAAACAACTATGCATATGAACTTGTTAGTACTGTGTGTTGCCATGCAACACTTTGTTATCCAAGCTGCGAGTAAGGAAGGTATCCAGGCAAATTTAGATGAGTATATGATGCCTGGAATTCCAGGGCTACCAGGCCTGCATGGACCACCGGGAATTGATGGGAATACAGGCATTAATGGCTTTACAGGACACCAAGGCTTTCCTGGAAAGGTTGGACCTAGAGGCCCACAAGGGCCAGATGGAATAATGGGAACAATGGGTCAAATTGGACGGCCTGGACTTTATGGTTTAGCGGGTGTGATGGGGGCTGAAGGCTACAGAGGTGTTCCTGGGAATCACGGTTCTAAAGGACTATCTGGTCCTAAAGGAAAGTCTGGTAAAACTGGCAGTAAAGGCTTAAAAGGAGACCCAGGTAGTGGTCAAGTACCTCAAGATGATATAGTTGCATTTACCGTTGCCAGGGCAACAGAAATGTCTGCGAGTAAGCCAATCAGCATTGATTTCACACATATATTATCCGATATAAATGGTGACTTTGACATGGTAAACGACTCATTCACATGTCGAATTCCCGGCGTCTACCTCTTCAGTTTTTCTTTTGCGTCAGATAGCGCGACCAGTCCATCCGTAAACATGGTACGCAACAGCTCAAACCTCCTGGGTTCATATTCGACAAGTGTTTTCTCTGTTGTGCAGACGTCTACAAACATGATGGTTTTAAATCTTGTGAAGGGAGACACTATTTATCTTGAACTCAGTACAGGGTCTAGTATCCATTGCAGGGGCAAGATGCTCTGTAGTTTTACAGGGGTGCTATTTCATGCCACGTAGAACATTTTCAACTGATATTACTACAGCTAGGCAAGTTCAACAGCAATCAACATCGTGTTGTTAAAAGACAACTCATAAGTGCGTAATTACGAGATCACAAAAAAAAACTTTGAAAGCTTGAAGAAACAATTGCGGTATACAAAACGCAAGTAGTACAGTAAAGAAGATGCTTTAGACCAGTGGTTCTCAACCTTGTTGCATTTGTGGACCCTTTGGACCTGCAAAAAACTTTTCACGGATCCCATGTCTAAATATACTCATTGTCCACATCCCAACAATTTTTTAAAATGTATATAGCAATTCTAGGTGGCCAGAATGACACTATCAGACTCAACATTTAGGGCGACTCATGGTTGATATTCTACCAATAAGGTTATGGATAGAAGATGGGTTCGCCAAATTACGACATCTGGGATCTTCAAATTCGACATAGACGAGAAGGGAGGGGTGCAGACAGCAATTTTTACAGACAGGGGAATTAATCTACCATGGTTGGGGCTGAGGCAGGAAATTCTTATGTTTATGGCACTTCTAAATGGCCAGAAATGACACTGTCAGACCCAAAATTGGAATGTAATATTCTGTTATCCTCCATTTACTTTTAATTTTGTCATAAAAAACAAATTTAAAATATTCTATCAAATCACCAATAAAATAGTGGAACTAAATTTGAACTCGTCACTTCAGACAAGTTAGGGGATCTGCCGCACATTTAAACTTTAACCCTCAGGAAGCATGCACGACACGGATTGAAAAATATTTAAATGCTCAAATTATGGCCTATAAAACGCTCTAATTAAGTTAAAGAAACATAATTTTGAGCATTATAAAAGTTTTACGCACTTGTTAATCATGTCATTACGCGTTTTGCACGGTAATGGCACAGAAAGTTGACTCCTCATATGAGATATACATATGTCAACTCTCATCGAAAAACGCCTGTTGGTGGGGGGTTCAGTACCAACAGTTATAAAATTTGACAAAGATTTCAAGGAAAAAAGATAAAGGGGGGGGGGGGGCGTGTAGGTGTGTCAGAAAAACATTTATTTCCACCATGATGACATCATCAAAATGTAAAAATAAGTCACATTTATGAAAAAAATTGTCTCAGCTAAAAGTTTGGAGACAATCGATCATGGATAAGCGAGATACACTCAAATGAGTATTTTAGTAAATGACGTCATAGATAAGAATTCGGTTTTTTGAATTTAGATGATCTATAAAAAACATATCTACAACTCATGTGCTTTCAGAATATGTAATGAAATTTGGGGGTCATCTTTCATCCTAAGGAGCTTTAACTGCTTTCATATTTTCACAGTATGAAACAATTTACAGTGAACGAAGTCCTGGGTATTTCATTATTGTCAAGGCATGATCCCACTGTAGTAAGACAAAAAAAAATAATGGAATCATGAAGAAGTTGTTCTAGTAATCTAGCAGACCACTGAATTTATAGCGGACCACCAAATTTTTCGCGGACCCTCTGCAGACCCCTTTGACTTGGCGGACCCCCTATTATTTTTTGCAGACCCCTAAGGGGTCCGCGGACCTCAGGTTGGGAACCACTCCTTTAGACAATCTCTAAATCCAAGCATAACGTTTTTTTTTAAATAGTATTGTTTAAGGTGATTTGTACCTGCTGTATATAATTCCTTTGTACAATTTAATTTTGGTATTATTAATTTTAATGTATTTTATGGTTTTATGAACAATATAATATTAACAATACTATTACAGTTATATATATGCATTTATGTGCTTTACATTATCATACATAGTTTTTAATTTTACAAATTTTAACTAGTATTTAGTACAAATTTAGTAATTCTTAAGATTATTAGTGAATAAATGAGATTTAAGAAAGCAAAAATAGTTGTCCAGTGTCAGATGCTTGGATGTACCCTGTCATTTTAATGTACACATTACGGCCAAAAGCACGCCACTCACTCATTCTATGTAGAACCCAACACCACAACGCACATGTACCAGATCGTTATTAATTACAATCCCTTCACACTGTGCTCAGAGAGATTCATTGTATGAGGGGTACAACCGTGATTGCCAGGCTTAAAACTACTGTAATTACAGTGCAACTTTTTGTAGTCTAAAACATTTTATTCATCAATTCATACATCTATCCATCATTCATTTTATTAATCCATTCATTTATTAACAAACCTCAATCTTGGCTCTATTAGCATACTTCTGTCTACCTCTTATTGACTTATATATGATGTATAATTGAAAAAAAAACCTTAAATAGTATGTTTTATACTATCTATTATTATTATTATTATTATTATTATTATTATTATTATTATTATTATTATAATATTTGGTTATTCATATAGCACCTTTATTTGCAGATACAAAGCGCTTTTGACCCCGGTCATTGGGTCTACATGCTTATGTGTTGATGCTGTAATCAGCAGAGAAGCAGGCAACCCCACCAAGTACCCATTTATACTCCTGTGTGGAGAGAAGCAATGCAGATAAAGTGCCTTTGCACAAGGACAGAAGCGAAATGGAGAGCGAAGGATTGAGGCTGAGAAACCAAACCATTTCCAGCCACGCCAAACCACTTGATACACCTTTATAAAGCTGAAGAGTTTAAATGTTATGCACAACCTTTCATCCATTTATGTTATACAGTACAAACTTTCTCAATAATTAGGTAATGACCACATCAATTTTCATGTATACAAGAAATTTTGCTGACTGATCTGCTTCAAATGCAATGTCTTGCAAAGTAGTGGTTTTGTTGCAGTAAGCCTGGTCCTCCAAGAGTAGATTATCTCAACCTGCAGAACTTGTGGTATCTACTGAGTGTGCTCTGAAGACTATATTTCCTTTCAGATCTTTAGTTGCCGGTTGACTTCCATCTGCTGCTCTCTTTGTGTTTCAGGTTTGAAACTCAAGTTTAAATAGTGAAACAATTCATTTGTTTTCAATATTTTTTATAGATGAATTTGTGTATTTTTTAATATTTTTTTGAAAAATTATAAAATTAAAAAAATCTTTAATTCTTGTTTTTCATTGTTTTTTTTACAGGATAGCGGTTTATTCACCCCGGTATCGGCCTTTAGCCCATTATTCTTTCTTAGCATGCCAGTCATTTTGTAGTTCATTTTTATGTGTTTTTGGATATGAAAATGCCGAATTTATAATTAAATAAATATATTTGTTTCCTTTTTTTAACTGAATAAGTTTTTTTTATTGTATATCTAGTTTCCACATTAAAATACTTTTACTTGTAACCAGCATAGGACTTTGAAATGGGATAGGTGATATCACATTAAAAACATGTCCAAAATAAAGAATTACTTCATTTTCTTTTGTTCTGTAGTTATAAAATATATACTAACACTTGTTGATGATTTCTCCTATATTTTCCAGAAATTTGATGCAACATGATATCCAGGTTGCAAGTGTGTGTCTTCATTGTAGGCCTATGTACAGTCTCTTTTAGCCAGGGAGTGCTGACCCCGGAAGAGGACCCAAATGACATGCAAAATACTTGCCAAGCCCGGTGTGGTATCCCAGGGGTACCTGGAAACCCGGGAATGCCCGGTTTACCCGGTAGAGATGGAATTCCAGGACGCGATGGAATAAGAGGGATGGAAGGGCTACAAGGGAATGCTGGTACCCGGGGTCCACCTGGAATCAGAGGACCGATGGGACACCAAGGTGAGACTGGAGTTCCAGGTCTTGACGGACCTCCTGGTGCACCTGGAATTGATGGCGTCCCCGGTATAAATGGTGAGAGAGGAATAATGGGCAACCCCGGCCCAAAAGGTTCTCGTGGGCAACGTGGCGAAAAAGGTATAAAAGGAGATTCTGGGACAAACTCCATAGATAATATCAACATGGTTGCTTTTACTGTTGACAGAAGTAGTGACCTCACTACAACGGAAACAGAGGACGCCCTCATTGACTTCGATCATGCCACAACTGATCTCAACAACCATTTTGATTTGTCGACAGACACGTTCATCTGCAAACTTGCAGGCGTCTACCTCTTTACATTCACATTTGGTTCTAACACCGCAAACACGCATTCCATTTGGCTTAAGAGGAACAGTGACAATATTATGGGGACATTTGCACGAAGTGATTTCTCAATCACGCAGGCATCCACAAACACGGTAGTGCTGAACTTAGTAAAGGGAGACATAATACAGATGGTGTTGGAAGCAGGCTATAGCCTTCACTGTGGGGAAGACAACCCATGTAGCTTCACTGGAGCTCTACTCCATGCCACTATGGCAGAATAAGTCATTTACATTAATAAAAGGTACAGAGAACTCTGTTGTATTTTATAACACTTGTACATTTTTGCTGTAGCTAATATGGAATCCATTACATTTTTTTAATATAATTTTAAAAATTTAATATTGTTTGGTAAATCTGTGTATTTTTAGTCGCTATGCTCTGTATGCCTCATTCAATTAAAATTTCTATTAATGTATTTTTGTATATAATCAGAACAATATAGAGATTACCTTCAAAAAGCATAGTTAAATGAAGTACTTTGATAAACATTACAGAAAATACCACCGGTTAAACTACAACTGATGAGTTAAACATAAAATATTATCTGATATTATTGGTTATGCAATTTATATACTAGCTTCTTTGTTTTTCGAGTTTGCACTATATGTCAAAATGAATAATATTAAAAAGGATTTAAATAGTCATCAATCAAATCATTTACATATTTTTTACTTTCAAGACTTACCATTAACATGACAAAAGCCAGCGATACAACACCTAGTAAAAGTAGTTCCTTGCTTGCTTCGCCTCTCAGTCGGTAAAATATGGGTGAAACTAAGTATCGACTAATGAAAAAACTAAGCATTAACACTGTCCATAAAGCTGAAAGAAAAATGCAAAAATGTTTTTAGAAAGGGGACCACTTTAATGATGAAGTGAATTATTAAAAGTAAACATTCATTACACATTGCAAGTTCTTTGAGATACATACATAAAATATATATAATAACTATACTGAATTTTAAATGTAGCTTTTTTTGTAGTGATGGTTCGAATTCTGCAAATTCCATCATGTTGGTCATGAGCAACATGAATCCACAAAGTACACACTTGTTTTAAAGCATCATACTAAACATGACAAACTACTTAACTATGCATGTATACAGAATAGGTTTTGTTATAAGCATCATACTCAACACTTTACTCCATAAACATCGTATCACAATAGCATGGGTCGACTCAAGGTTGGAATTATTGGTAACCAGAAAAAATGAAAAACAGTAAAAACCCTTAAAGTGCAACCCTTAGTATACTTACATGCAAAAAGCTCAAACACCAACAGAAGTGTACGGAACAGATTCAAGGCAAAAGAAGGAGAGTGGCCACCAGCCTCCAGAGGCTTCTCAGCGCCTGCCAAGGCCGGAAGAATTGCCACAAGTAGTCCAAGTTGGACGTCTTGTACCACTAGGATGCCTAGCAATGTAGAGCTGTAATCTGGATCCTCGATATCTAAGGGAAATAAATGAAATGATAATAATGAAATGTTAAAATATATCGGTGGTACAGGTTATTCGCCTACCTTTACCTTTACCTAAAAAATTTGAACAAAACATTAAATTGCACATAAAATGATCAATCAAGGAAGCATTCCTATCAAGCAAGCATTCCGATCAACCAACAGCAAGCAAGTCACCAATTATAAGATGGATTTTTATACTTCTAATACATGAGGCTTAGAGTGTAGAGCTGTTTATAGTCGTGAGCAGTGGCAGACCGTAGGGTAAATTGCAATGTATACTAGGTATTGGCCTATCTAGGATGTGCAAGAGGCGCGCGCAGCCAACCCTTAAAATACTCGTCCATCCCCCGGTCGTGCCTCCCGCCCACAAGTCCTGCTGAAGTAGTTAAAATCACCTTAAATCAACTTATTTTGCGAGTTAGCCCCTCACCTAATCACCGGTCCCCCACTTTACATTCCAACCCCCATAAGCTCCCTTACATTTCAAGATCTCTACGCCACTGATGCCAGAGCCTGCTAGTAGGAAAATTTTGTAAGCCTACTACTATACAGAATCAGATTGTGTTCTCTAGTCAAAATAAAATGTATGTTATTTTCAATACTGGCATGGTTATAGTATCTTCTTTTCAATCAAAAGAATTCCTATTCCTGTATTTTAACAAATTTCAACCTCAATAACAATAATTCTAAGTTTCTTCTATACCAGTCATATGTATGTCTTTAATCACTGAGAAGAATACAGTACCCGATCAGCAGTGGAGGTCCTGATTTGTGAGAACAGCATGCGCACATACTGTACTCTTGGAAGCAGCGCTTCCATTCCAGTGTTAAATTGCCTATTCTAAAACCACCACACGGTTGTCACAATAGCAAATTTAAGCGTTGTAGGGTATGCTCTAACTTTCATTGACTCACTGAATACATGATTGGCTGATATTGAAAACCAGACACGCAGAAATTCTAAGCAGCTGAGAGTACGATGTGATAGGCCCGACTGTGACTTATCCTGACTTATCCTAGTTACCAAAGTAGGCCAAACATTGAAAACCTTCCAATTCTACTATTCCAATGAACTGTAGCAATCTACTCGAAAAATTAATGTTTATATATAAGATTGTGGCTAAGAAATGCTAAATAAAACAGAGAAACTGTACTATATATTTTAAAATTTGTTTAGCTAGGGTATGCACTACATACCTTGCTTGCCTTGACGGTCCACCACTGGTCGTGAGAACCCAGCCATTACTGGGTTTGAACCCACAACCATGCAAGCATCTAATAGCCACTAATCTGCTCAACTCAAACCCAGTTAATTGTTACATATTGTACACCATATATAAAGAAGAAATTGAAATAATAGAATTGTATTGCTGAATTAAACTTGTGTAACATTCTCCTTGGTCAAATAACTACCCAAGAAATGAAGAAAAGTACTCAAGTGAATGTTGCCCTTGCAGAATAAAATGGTATTATGTACTGTATTTGGAAGATAGGCCCTACATTTTGCTTTCGTTTTTAGCCAGATAGAAGACCAATAAAAGCAGCCAAACATTGGAATTCAGGCGATGAAACAGGGGTTTGTCTTATACGGCCGACATAAAAAAATCCTCCAAAAAACTTCTCAAACTCGGGTGTCTCTTAAACGCGAATCGCCTTTACGTAAGCATATACAGTATACTTAAAAGCCTGCAATCTAAGGCTACTGAAGCCCAAAAAGTAAACATGGTTACCTCAAAATTCTGTCCCAATCACCATGTCCAAAAACTAATCATGGCTACATCAAGTATCTACATCTCTAGTGATCTACATAACTTTTCTCAAGTTATTTTTCCTACCTATGAGTATTTCAAGAAAGTGAAGTAGTATAGCATTAGGAGGTTTGTGTCCAAATTAAGCCATTACACACATTAGAAAACAAATTTTATAGATATAAACTTACCAGAATTAGTTCTCAGTGCTACTGGTAAATATATTGAAAAACAGTAATAAAATCATCAAATTGCACTTAAATTCAATCAAAGATTCATTTGTTTAATTTATTTATTTATTTTGCATCCATTCAAATAAAACAATTTACAAAACAATGACATACAAAAATCAAATAAAAATTGCCAGTACAAACGGAGAATGGATGCATGTACAACCCATAAAACCCAATTAAAGTTGATTTATTTCCAATGGGGTCCAAAGCAGAACATCAGAATCAGTATACTGTATAAATATAGAGGCCCAAATATATAAAAGACAGTACGATTCACTATAAAATGGTAGACTGTGGCAAAACATAGAATGTATATTAATATTATGGAAAATAAAATTTGCTAACTTAATATGATAACATGTGATTTTAAAATCAAAATTGCAGGGAGTAACATGAAAAAAAAATCAAATCACACAGTTGCAACAAAATAAATTAAAGACCAAAATTATAAAATATGCTAATGGTATATTAGTTTCATTCCTGTTTAACTATAATTATAATTTTTGGAGTTCTGATAATACTGTACTCTAACATTAAATAATAATGGTTTACGGTTTTAAATTTTATATTAAAAAAATAATAACTTTCTAGAATTAGATAAATGAAAAACATACCTTCAGCTTTGCCATGTTTATGAGCAGAGCCTAAAAACTTGACAACCAGAGGTGTACTGGATAAAGAAAGACAAGCTGCAATGAATACGCTGTGCCGTGGGACAATATGAAGAAAATAACCGAACACCAGGCCAAAGCAAATCATTAGGGTGGTCATAGACAAACTACCACATACTGCAACATGTAATACCTTCAAAGAAATAGCAAGTTATTTCACCAGAAACAGAAAATACTGGGGAATTCAATTACATCACGCCATTATCAATTCATTATAACAGTCATATTCAAGATGATCATCATCGTCATTGCCCTCGGCATCATCATCATATAGTAGTAATTATTATCCTAATATTCTTATTAAATTAAAAATGAAGTAAATAGTACTCAAACTGCAAACCTACCTTCCTTATCTTTTCTGGTGAAAATTCCAACCCCACACAGAATAGTATAAAAAATGCCCCAAATTCACTTAATGTTTCTACCTGAACAACAGCCTAAACAAAAAACAAACACAAAAATATAGGATTAATTTTTGGCAATTTTGAATTTATTAATAATAATAATAATAATAATAATAATAATAATAATTTTTAAAGCACAAACATCACCACCATAATTGTTTTGGGATTTTAATGTTGTTATTGGAAATAAACAATTGCATAAAAAGTTCCAAATTGGAATATACTGTACATAATTAGACATGAATCCAAATGTAATTGTATTTTCTACTACTCAGGCAGTCTTTATCTGTGTTTGTGTCTTTCTTAACAAAAGTACAAATGGGTACCGGCATATGCTGGGATGGTAAACAGACTCGCTGTGAGGAGGAATGGCGATCCCCTCAAAGCATTGCACACTCCGGCCCCAACTCTTAAGCAAGAGGGATGGGCATTGTAGACCTGTAAAGCTTCTTACCTTAATGGCTCCAAAGCCTGATGAGCCCAGAATAACCCCTGCCATGATATAGCCAAACATTGCAGGCAGATGAAGAGAGTTACAAAGCCAACCACAAGCAAAGGCTAATATCACCAGCATTAAAATGTCCTACAATGATAGTAATCAACATTAAACTAAACATTCTCCAAAAACTTTAATTTCGATTTTGCGCTTAGAAGGCTAAACCTAACAGAATAAATAGTATTGCACAATAGTAAACTTTTATGAGAAATAAAATTTTAAAAAAAAGTCTACCTAAAATTCCTTGAGTAATGTTAAATTACATCATGGAATTCAAGAAATCTAATGAATTTCCAATTGTTCTGTCATTTGTCTACAGCTGACTTGAAGTAAATTGAATATTTATTTTACTTGATATTGTACAAGGGGCAAAAAGGGAAATTTACCAATAATTTTAGATATGTTATAAATGTTTTTCAGTCAAAACATAACCGCTCATATTTAAAGAAAACAGGCTTGATAATTTCAAAGATTGTATTGTTCTTTGTTTTGTATTGGACATGATATAAAATTTAAATTACTGGGTAGTGGTCTCCATATTATGTGCCCTATAAAGGTCAACCATTGTTATTATTAAAATGCCCAGAAGGGAACAAATTTCTCAGCTTTCTAGATGCAATCAATTTCTTTCCAGAACCCAATGGTTATATCTTCAAAATTTGTCAGCTCTTGCTGGCCATCTTAGCCTCCTGTCAAACATAATCCAAGTATTACAAAAAAATGGCATTAAAGCACTTGCTAGCTACTGGGCTTGTGGCAAATTATCTTGTGATATATAAGAATATGAAAATGTTTACACCCAAGATATAATTTCAGTGTTTCCTACCTGAATGAAGTGATGGTCTTCATGAGGAACAGTTGTGTCCTTTGGTTTGGTCAGAACATACTGATTATTACTAGTGTCCACTAACAGACTCATAACATCTTGATGATTGGCTTGTGCTTTCGAACGGTTTACATTCTTACCATTCTCGTCCAATCTGACCACTGCTTCAATAAATGCACCTCGGACCTAAAAAAAAGATTTTCTTTATACTTTATCAAGAAAGACAAAGAGGGAAACTTTTGAACACGTGATTCCATAACATTCTTTAATGTATTAATATTAATCAATAAGGCAGAATATATACTGATCTCTCTATGCGCTGTTTAAAAGATATTACCTAGTTCATTATTCAATCAGTCAGTATTTCAATATATTCAGTATAAGATACAATAAAAAGTGAAAAATGAACAAGTGAAGAAAAATCTGCCAGTTATGAATGCGAAAAAAGATATAAATTTATATTTGGTTGACAAAATGGTATACACACAGCTAAAATTATATTTTCAAATACAGTATCACACAGCACAAGTTTTTTGGGCTTGTCTTAGTCAAAAAATATAATAAATAAAATATATAACATGAAGACTATTATCATCATACCTGCTTTGACTGATCAAAGGCATGCTCTTCGATACGGTGTTCAAGTTTATCTGCTGCTATGGCAACCTCCTCCAGGATTTCATCCAGGATGAAATCAACTTTGCTCCGATTGGATGGAGAGGAGGCGTTGCCAAGGTGTTTCAAATGTTCTTGATATTCAATCTGGTGCTTCTCAGCTGCTAGGAGGTCATTGAACTCCTGCTCCTCCCTCAGGGTAGCCTCCCTTAGTGCCTCAAGCCTCAAAAGACTGCTATCTTTCATATTTATAAGGTCTTTGTAATCACCCTGCAGGTCTCTCCGCAGTGAATTTATTGCCATAAATATTGAGTTTTCGCTCTCGTTCAACTCCTTTTGGAATATCTCAAATGTGTGCACTTGAAATTCTCTCTCTGGTTCCTCGATTCCTTGCTTCATCCTTACGTCAGCAATTGCAGCATTCAATTTTTTTATAACTTTTTCTTTCGTTGAGAGAAGTCCAATAAGATTTACACAAGAGTCTTTCAGCCATGTTGTGTAACCTTTTTGTTCTGCTGCATCTTTGTGTTTGTCTACGAGCAAGCGCCCTCTATGTAGTTTCAATTCATGATTAGCTAAGTTTTTCGGGATCGGTTTTACTTTGACACTTTCAACAACAGCAAACACCACAATAATCTGTCCAATGAGGTTTAGCAAATCCATCGTTAATGGTCTTTAGGTAGAGAATAATTCAGGAAAACCCAACATTCCTAATAAATAATAAAGTCTCATTATATTTCAGATAAAAACAATTATTCAGGCATTTTACGGCTGGAATCACAAATTTGAGCTGGTTTTTATATGTATCATAAAAAAACTAGTGCAATTAAAAAAAATTTACAGTATGGTACTACACTAGGCCTAGGTCTTCTAGTTTGTCCTCAAGAAATGTAGTTGTACTGTAATGAATGGAATATTGAAATAAAAAACATTTGTTTTGTCTGAAAATTAAGGTTTGGTCCTTAATTTAGTTTAGGCCTAGGTTTTCATAAAAAAAACTGCGGCTAAATAAAATGCTGTGGTTAGGGATACGGTAGTATACCGTATCTTATTTTCCGTTTGCTAAAGGTACGGTAAACTGCATCATCCAATAAAATGCCGCCACCGGTGTGGCATAATTGTTCATGAAGACTTGTAAAATCAGTCCCTGAATGCAGAGGAAGTTGGAGAAGTAACATTTTAAATAGTGTCTTTTTACAAATTACTGTAAGCCTTACTGAACTCCGTATCATGTGTCACCTCACACTCTTACAAAAATACATTTAAGACAATGTTCAAACAAACAATACAAGCATACTACAATTATTCATTTAATGGGCCAACCCATCATATTTTACAAATCTCATATCATACGCCTATTTGTGAAGTTAAGATATGGTACTGAACTGTTCTATATTGCACAACTCAACTGCCTACTGTGATCCAGATCTGCCTACGCCTCAGGAACCCCCTCCGCGTTCCAGTGGTTCTGAGCATCTGAGCAACCATGTCCATTAGGCCTAGGCCAGTAGTATAGATGGCTAGCTAGCTGGGCTGGCCTAGGCCTAGATAGAGTGGTTTAGCCTAGCTAGGCCTTAAGTTATAGGCCTAGTAGTAGGCTAGCCTAACTGAATACAGATCATTTCAGTCGCGCTTCGTTTCGGTCGCGCCTCACTTCGGTCGCGCTTCGTTTCGGTCGCGGTTTGTTTTCAACAAATATATGGAGCGCCAATGGAGTTGCGAAAACGCCAAATTTAATATAACCATAGAGAAAATAGAACATAGAACTGTTCTATTTTCTCTATGATATAACTAGGCCTAATTATCATTGTAAGTTCGTCAATCGGTTTTTCATACTGTTGTTAAATTTATGTTCTGTTGTCTTTCTATTACTAAGTAACAACATAGGCTACTTAAAAGCAAATAAAATGAGTACTATAGTATTAATAACTAAATTTCAATTAATACTATGGTATTTATAGGTTAATTTCTAGTTTGTTGCATTCCTAGTACAATGTTACTCTTTTATCGGACGGTTTTTATTTTCGTTTTGTTATCGATCCTACGCTTCCTACTACATAACAAATACAGTAAAAAAATGAATACTAAAAATTTGGTATTTCTCGTAGTACGGTACGGTATTGTTTTTTGATTATTTATAAAAATCAAACTTTTTATAAGGAAAAACCAGCCAACTCGTTATTTAAATTACTGTAACATTAGTTTATTAACAATTACTTTTATTAGTATTAAAGTTTATTATTGTTACTATATTACTGTATCACTTGTTGCTATTTTTATTTTTTTACAGAAACAAGGCGAAGTTGACAAAGTTTGAGATACGTTTTTTTTTAATTGTTTGTTGCGATATATATATTGATATAATTTTTATTATTATGCTTGAATGAAATGAAACCAGTAACTTCGAATCGTCTGCGCTGGCTGCTGATCATGTTTATAAAATACAAAAATAAATAAATGGATAATAAAATATATATTTGTTATATGATGCCATGTGTAATGTAAATAAATATGTATAAATTATATATAATATTATATGTATAAATATATATATGTATGTGTATATAGAGGTCTATATATATATATATATATATATTAATATAGGCCTATATAGTTGCTAGGTACATCTTATATGCTTATATAAAGTCATATAT